CTGCTGCGGACCTGGGCTAGGACTGGGTCTGGGGGCTCCCGGAACTCGGCAGAAAATCCTACTCGGCGGGCGGGGTGGGGGAGGCACTGCAGAGTGAGGACTAGATTATTGATCAAGTTAATGATATCACTCATGTCCTCTTGCTACCATTAAATCAATATTATTTAAGCAACTATACTTTCAATTTTACTGTTTGATCATAATCTTGACCCACACTGTACCTGCCTTATGATTTTGCTCCATAAAAGCTTCTTTGAGAAGTGGGTTCATTGGCAACCCATTTGGGACCCCTCCTATCTCTCAAGAGCTACCATAGTCCCCATTCCTATTCCCCATTCCTTTTCGCCAATAAATTCTCCTACTCAACCTCTGTCGTTCCTTAGAATTCATTCTTTGATTTCAGAGGACAGGAATTCAGTGTATTTGCCATCTAGCAGTTTCCCTTTATCACGGTGATTAAGAAGTAAAGGGAGGAGCTGGAAAGAGAGATGTACAATACTTTTCAGGTTATGCCACCACTGACTTGCCTCTCCCAACCAGAACCTACCTTCCAAGAGCAAGTCAGTTATAATACCTCTATAATCTAATCACCTTCCAAACACATGAGGCTTTCAGGGAGTCATTTCTTAGCTAAACAGTACCACAATGATACTCTCTTTGCTCTGTTTTATCAATGTTTGTGTTCTACCAATAAACATACAATACTGATATTTTGAAACTAAGTTGATAAAACAAAAATTCTTATACATAACAAAGCAAAAGCACATGGAATATTTTTCTATGTGAGAAGAAGTACACAGGTCTTTTACCACAGTCTAAAATACTTGTTATAAGGTTGCATAATCACAAACTAACATAAATCCTAATCAAAATGTCTATGCTTAATTTTTTCTCATTCTACTCACCAAATTTTTTAATGTCATTTATAAAGAAACAGCTAATGAAACCATTGGGCCTAGAAATTGTGAATATATTTAAGTATAATTCTAAATTAATAAAATGTTGAGATAGAAAAGTAGGACAGATAGAAAACAAGGAGTCTATTTTTTAAAGTGACCTATTAATGACCTGATCAGGAAAAATAAGATACAGAAAATTCTTTCAGTCCTCTTCAGCTATTTTCTATTAGGAAGGTTTAAGTCAAAAGCACATATTTGATCTCAAACTGAACTCTCACTATACATAATGGATGGGTATAACACATTTACCCCTGGTGGGCTGAGCTGGCCACACACACACACACACACACACACACACACACTCTCTCTCTCACACACATAAATAAATAAAATTTTTTAAAAAACCCTAACTCTGTCATTTATTAGCCCTAGATTATAAGTGTAAGAAGCACCTTCTTATATATTTACAGGACATTAAGAATACCTATTGAATAAAATAATACATGCAATTTCTTAGCAAAACTACTAGTACTTACAAATTACATATTTGAAATATTAGATGCTTATTATTATGTCCACTGTGAGTAGAGCACTTTGTTCATGCCCCATATAGATATGATCATATCATTATTCACTGGCTTCCCACTGACTTAAGAATTAACTCTAAACTTCTTAACATAATATTAGGTCCCTCCACAGTCATCTCCTGACATTACTCCTCTTTTACTCTAAACCAAACTCCAACAGACTTCAATTCCACAAATACGCCACATTCCTGTACTAGCCTCCACTTTTCTCATATGAAGTCCACTTTGCCAAGAACATTTACAATATTCATTCCCCTTGCTCTTCTTCTTCAGTGTACAAATATTATTTCTTCTAAGAGCCTGTCTGTAACACATGGACTAGTATAGATCAATCTTCACAGCGATAGATTTTTTTTTTTTTTTTTTTTTTTTTTTTGTGGTAGTGGGGAATGAACTCAGGCCCTTGAGCTTGCCAGGCAATGGAGCTATCTTTCCAGCCCAAGATAGATATTTTGAGACTAGAATGTGTCAAGACTAAAGAGGAGACTCAACATGACAGGAATGACCTATTAGAGGTACAAAACAGGCATGGGGCTGCTTACCTTTTAAATTGTTTGTATTAAAAAGTAGTAAGTATGTTTGTAATTTAAGGCAGACATTAACAAATAACTCTTGGGCCAAACCAGCCAGCAATTTTTATAAATGAAATGTTATTGAAATACAGCTGAATAGTAGTTTACTCTTATTTATGATTGTGAAGTTTCAGCAGTGGCTACAAGAGGCTATAATGACTTGGAAAGCCTGAATAATTTTCTTTTCAATTAGTATGGTGCTCCCTGAGTTCAGGTCATTGATAATTGGGTTTTGTTGCTTATGCTCAGAAGTATCCTGTGCTTGGATGTTCTATAGCTTCTTTTGTTTTCCCTGTTACAAACACTCATCTGACTCTATCATTGTTACTTGCATACCTTCCCTTCCATGCTTATTTTTCCAACTGCATGAATGCTACAAGTAGTACTAGCACTAATGTTATGTTCCTATACTTAACATTTTATCTGATAAATAGAACGCATTTAAATATTGTTGACCAAGCAAGTATATGAATGAATGTTCACATTTCATATCAATAAATATTTATGAACAACATGTACATTAGGCATTCTGACATAATATAAATTCTGAATGGCTTAAAATCAGACTTATGAAATAAAGCTCTAGCCTTTAAAAAGTAATATTAATGAATAATTTCTAGAACAAGAGAGGATGTACAAGTACATATGTAAATACCTCAATAATAAATGTATATATAACTTTAAAAATCCTTATTTTGATTTCTGATCAACCAAGAAGTAAGAATTTGTATGCACTCAGCTCTACCTAGGAGAAAGGGTACCCTGACATTAAACCACCTCATATTATGGTACATGGAAACTACAGAGCTCACTGAATGAGATTACCATAGATTTGTAGAATCTAGGGCCCTTCAACTGACATCTCTTATTTTTATTTTGCTCATTATCTTTGCTGAGATTAATGTTAAGAAATAATGACAATGCAACATTATTACTTATGAAGTGGGAATCCAGGAATCAGTGTAACAGAAAACAATGAGCTCTGAGAGAGATAAACAAACAAGCAGTATATTTAAGTTGCTAAACAAGAAACATCTTCTAGTTTGATATAGAGCCTTGAGTGAACTTCAACCTAAAAATACATAGAATCACTGTTTTAATAATAATAATACATTTAGTCTAACACACATATGCATCATACTGTTATTGACCTAATCCCTATTTTAAATGAAGAGGCATAACCAATAGTAAGTTACATAGTTCTTTCTTTCTGTTTCATTTTTATTCTTTTCCCCATTCCTATAAGTAATTAGATATCTTTAATCACCATATAGTTTTTATATTTTACATTCATATTCACAATAGAATACATAACTTTCCAAAGACATTAGTAAATTTGCCTTTATTTATGTATTAAACATTGATACTGCACTTCATATTGTGTTTCTACGCATTATATTATTATTAATGAATATAGATATGTGCTGTAATCAAATAAGGTAACTACTTAGCTTTTCTCGCTTATATTCTCTTCTATTCATCTTCTCCCACTCTTATAGGAGTTTAGCCATAAGGGCAGGAAAAACAGAAATCTCAGAGAAAGAAAATTTATTTTGGATATTGGTATAGAACCAGTGAGTCATCACTTCATAAAATTTGCATCAACTTACCCACGTTTGATGTGTAATTCTTTGTCCTTGCCTTTATCCTTTTCTCTTTTCTCTTTATCTCTGCCTTTACGTCGATCTCTATCCCGGGACCTACTACGGGTTCTTCTGTGACTGGAACGTTCACTGCTTCGGCTATGGGAACGTGGACGAGGTCTTGACCTGGACCTATAGTAAGCAGATTTGATTGAAGAGAATTAGGGAATATTTCTCATTTAAAAAATAAATATCCTATAAAATTATTTGAAAAAAAGTAATTTAGCTTTAGTTATAAACTCAACAATTAAATTGCAGGAAGCAAGCATTTGACTATGATTCTGTATGAGTAAGTACTGTTAAAATGACATGAGAAAACATATTGTCTACTTTGCAAAAAACTAAGGCTCAGTCAAAAAGTGTTTATAAGTGAGTCTTCTCATGTTTTCTTACTTGGTTTTGTTTGCTTTTGTATAAAGTCTCACTATGTTGCCCTGGCTGACCCTGAATCCTAGGCTTTAAGTGATTTTCCTGCTTCCGTTTCTTAAGTACCAAAACTACAGGCACATGCTACTCTGAACAGAAACAAGTGAAAGGTGCAAAGGTTTGAATCAAATCTTAGTAAGGTCTCATGAGACAATAAAACAAATCAAATGTATTTAACATAATTGATAAGGATAGAGGTCTTCCTTACCCCTGTGATCTCTTCTTTCTATCTGTTCAACCCTGTTTCTTATTTCTAATTGTTTCAATAAAATTACTCATCTACAGTAATCCACCTTTTTTTACACAATGATAATGCTAGGTAGATGTCTTAGTTACTTTTCTTGCTGCTGAAACAAAATATCTGAAATCCAAGGTCAAAGGAGGAAAGGCTTATTTTGACTCACAGTTTGTAGAGATTTCAGTTCAGAGTTGGCTACCTCCAAGACAGGGTGATGTGGCAGAGGGGCATGGCAAAGCAGGCCAGCAGAAGGCAACAAGCAAAACTGACCCTCGTTTTGCCCCTTCTATCTTATCCAGGCTACCCACGCTTAGGGCTGATAACACTTACACCCAGGGAGGGGCAGTCTTAATTTGAGCATAACCCCAAGAATCAAGCCGAGTATTACATCATTGACTCCAGCAGCACACACCCTATAGCCAATCATCTCCAAAATGCCCCACCTATGACGCCTACAATTTTTTAGGTAGATATCTAGATGCCAGTCATAATAGAACACACTGTATGCTAATAGTGCCAGTTTCAGAACCTGGTTAGCTGTACTGACAAAAAACCTTCCATCATAAAAGAAACCTGGGGCCAGGGAGACGGCTCAGTAGAATAAGCACTTCCCTGGCAAGTGCAAGGGCCTGAGTTCAATCCCCCGTTCTGCAAAAAAAAAAAAAAAAAAAAAGAAAGAAAGAAAGAAAACACTCAAAAAAGAGTAATATTTGGGGCTGGAGAGATGGCTGAGTGGTCTAAAGCACCTACTTAGAACAAGCTAAGCTAAGCAAAGCACAGGGACCGCAGTTTGATCCCCCAGCACCACTTGCCAGCCAGCCCCGCCCCCAGGTGGGCTGAGCTGGCCACACACACACACACACACACACACACTAAATAAATGTTAAAAAAATAAATAAAAAATAAAAAGAAACCTATCAGAAAATCCTACAGATAATAATTACATGAAGTACTATGACCTAAAGCATAGATATTCTATAAGGCACCACTTGGAAACAGGAAACACCAATGAGAAAGTTTCATGATTTTCTGTTTTTACTCAGGGCAAACCCCTATCTGTGGTATGCAGGAGGTGGATTAAAATATTCAGCATATTAAAATTTATTTCAAGGGCTGGCCACATAGTTTAATGGAATAAAGTGTCTGCTTAGGCAGAGCACAATGGCCGGGGTTTGATCCCCAGCATTCCGTGACAGCCCTGCCCCTGCGGTGCGCTGAGATGGGAATTGAGACTGGGCATGGTGGCACCTGCCTATAATCCCAGAGCTGGGGAGGCTGAACACAGATCTACATAGTTGAGACCCTGTACTAAATACATAGAAGAAATAAATACATAAATATTAAAAAATATTTATTTCAGTAAAAGATGAACTGTCATTAAGCCACATTCAAAATGCTCCCCTTATTTCTAAAACACTTATCCCATGATTGCTGCGACTTTCTGAAGCAGTTCTGGAAGTCATTCATGTGTTATAGGATGAGATTAAAAATAAAACAAAAAACTACAGTGAAAGGCTGGTTCTTAAAAACATTACAGTGTGTCCTTGACTACTTTCCTTCCTGATCTGGCACTGTGCAAATTCTGGCTCTTTTCCAAAGTCAAAATAACCATGAAAAGTAAATACTTTTAACTGATTCAAGACACACTGCCAGCCATGACAGCAACTACCATGCAGATACAGAAAAGTAAACCAAGAGCATAATTTAGATAAAATAAAAATAAAAATAATTATGCATGGCAGGACTGCTTTACAATAAGTTATTAAAAAACCTATTCAAGATGAAAGAAACAACATAAGGAAATAATCTTTTAGAAGGAATGAAGATCACTAGGAAGACTGATTATAAAGATAAAAACCACAATGTGGACTTTTCTCCATTTAAAATACAAATAAAAATTGCAGTGTGATACCAGAGGATCTACAATGGAGGTACAGATGTCAGATACATATTCTATACCTGTGATAGAATAAATATGGGTCAAGAAAAGAAGCCTATACAATAATTAAGTTTTTAGATTTTATTACTGCATTTTCCTCTGCATTTTTTATAGAGTAAAATAGTTAACTCTAAGTAAAAAAAAAATGGTAAGAGTATATATTGTAACTCCTAGAGCAAACATTTAAAAAAAGATAAGTACAGCAAAAAATCTGCTAAGTAAAACAAAAAGGAATTCTTAAAAATAGTCATTCCTTGATCCTGAGAATCTTCAGAAGATGATTGAATCTAGCAGATAATTGGAAAGATTCTCACCCTGACTAACTATATATACTGATACCTGTGAACTAAGCTACTGCACTGCACATGGTAATCTGTAATAGTAGTTTCATGCTTAGAGTGCCTGTCATTCTGGTCTATTGAATATGGGCTGCTTCTCATGACAGGCCAGGTGCTGCCGTGCTGTCTCTCAGGTAGACAACTGTTCAAAAGGAAGGGAGTGGTGAAAGAAGGCAGGAGACAGGAAAAGGAATGTTGCAGGACTGTCCTGTTACAAGGTTGTATATGGTAAGATTTCTGGACTTATGTGTAAATGTAAGGATTATATAATTTTTATGCCTATTTTTAAAATACATTTTAATTTTTAAAATGTTTTTTCATCATATTGTGTAGGGACTTAAAGTTCAACATATCAATACTTGATGAAAAATACCTGTTCCATGTTATGCCTAAGATGTCTGATATTCAGACAGATAGTGAGCTTAAGCTTAACAGCCTAAGTTGTATGGTAATAACAATAAACTTGTCTTCTGGAGGGTTAACA